TTCAGAACCGCAACTTCGAGAACCCCGAATCTGGTTTCCGAATTGTGTCGAACATGCTCAAGAACGAGGGTGCCATGAGTTTGTTCAAGGGTTTGACCCCCAAGCTGCTGATGACCGGCCCCAAGTTGGTTTTCAGCTTCTGGCTGGCACAGACTTTGATTCCTGCCTTTGGCCAGGTTGTATAGAGGTCAGATACATAAGGAGTCTTTTTATAGCTTTGGCGTTCTTCGACAACTCCCCCTTCTCGGAAAATCTTTTCTTTTCTTCTTGTTTTCGGGTCTTGCGGGCTTTCCCGGCTCTTATAGGGACTTGTGTATTTTCCTCCTCATATACATGGTTTATTTTCTTCCGATGGAGTTTAGAGTGATAGTCAAATTTGAAATAATCATTCCTTTTTCATCACTCCCTGCTTCTTGCTCATTAAGAACATGAAACCTACTCAACCATGTATCCCAAAGTTCATGTACCTTAACGTACGCTGAAATGCGGCTGGCAGATCACGTGATCGTATATTCCCCCGAAAGCTTCCCCGAGGCTTCATCTAGCTCCACCTCAATCTTACGAACCTGACCAGGATCCAAGATCACTATGGCTGCCTACCTCCTCTCTCGGTAAGTCACAAATTTCGCACTTCCAATCAAACCCCTATCATTTGCGAGTCCACAAACCCTATGTTCCAAATCTCACTCAGCTTTTCCTTCTGAACAGAGTAGGTGACCCCATCTTCGCCCTCACAATGGGCGTTGCTGCCGTCATGTCCCGGATCCGCCGTGATCAAATAGAACAGAACCCCTCGAAAGCATCGGAGATCGGATATGGAACAGTCATGCAGCTCGGGCAGCAGCGGTTGCAGCGGTGGTGGAATGGAGATTACCAGAATCTATAAGCACCGAGATCGGGTTTAATATGGGGACACTCCACGAAATTTGTACTACATATGCATTATATGGGTTCTTGGAGTTGGGGTTTATGATTGATGTATGAATGGAGCAAGGATCCATGTGTATCATTCTGGTGGGCTTTCTATCGTTGATTTCTGGCTGATGTAGCGCTAATTTCGTATTGATTTCAGTTTTCTTTTCGTATTCAACTTGGTCTTTAGTCGCAAGACTTTAGACTTACGAAAATATATATACTACGTACTTGCCCGAGTTGCCGAGCACACCACATGTATCAACCATAATCTTTAACAATTACGAGAATTGGATGGGATTGTAAGACTGGTTTGTCTAAAGTTTAATGTATGCCAAGAAATATGCTGAATATTATTTATTCATCTTGTGATCTAATCATAAACCAGTACTAGTCAAACTTTCACGCCTCAAATGCAACATGTATGAAGGTCGTCGAAGAAGAACAAGAACCAAAGGCCTCAGGCAAAAACAGGACAAAGCAGAAAGACTCAAAAGACTACAGGACAGTGCAGAATTACAGGAAAATGATAAATTAAAAGATTTTGAAATTCGCTAGGACTTTTCTTATCCCAGCAGAGATAAACTTTGTATCTATGCAATCATTCGCAAAAAAGGAAAACTCGATATCCCATAAGTTCGTAAAACAAGACGTTGAAAGGAAAAAAAAATTGTAGCCAAGAAAAAAGCACAAAGCTAGAGATTAAAGCGAGACGCTTAGTCAAGCTCCTCGGGCTTCTCCTCAACATCATCGGGCTGGCGGGCACCACCGGCACCGGGGGCACCGGCAGCACCGCCGTAGGCAGCGGAGATGATGGGGTTGGCAACAGCCTCAAGCTCCTTCTGCTGGGACTCGTACTCGTCCTTCTCGGCGGTCTGGTTGTTGTCGAGCCAGCTGATGACCTCGGAGATCTTGTCCTCAACCTTCTTCTTGTCATCCTCGGAGATCTGGAGCTTGCCCTCGGAGAGAGTGTTCTTGAGGGAGTAAGCGTAGGACTCAAGACCGTTCTTGGCCTGGATACGTCCAGCCTCGGCCTCATCCTCGGCCTTGTACTTCTCGGCCTCAGCGAGCATGCGCTCGATCTCCTCCTTGGACAGACGACCCTTGTCGTTGGTGATGGTGATCTGGTGGGACTTGCCAGTACCCTTCTCAACGGCGGAGACGTTCATAATTCCGTTGGCGTCAAGGTCGAAGGTGACCTCAATCTGGGGAACACCACGGGGGGCAGGGGGAATGCCGGTGAGCTCGAACTTGCCGAGCAGGTTGTTGTCCTTGGTGCGAGCACGCTCACCCTCGAAGACCTGGATCAGGACACCGGGCTGGTTGTCGGAGTAGGTGGAGAAGGTCTCGGACTTCTTGGTGGGGATGGTGGTGTTGCGCTTAATCAGGGCAGTCATGACACCACCGGCAGTCTCGATACCGAGGGACAGAGGGGCAACATCGAGAAGCAGGATCTCGTTGGTGGACTTGGAGGAAGTGTCACCAGACAGGATAGCGGCCTGGACGGCGGCACCGTAGGCAACAGCCTCATCGGGGTTGATGGACTTGTTGGGGTCCTTGTTGAAGAAGTCGGAGACGAGCTTCTGGATCTTGGGGATACGGGTGGAACCACCGACGAGGACAATCTCGTGGACGGAGGACTTGTCGATCTTGGCGTCACGGATGACACGCTCGACGGGGTCCATGGTGGAGCGGAAGAGGTCCTGGCACAGCTCCTCGAAGCGGGCACGGGTGATGGAGGTGTAGAAGTCAACACCCTCGAAGAGAGAGTCGATCTCGATGGAGGTCTGAGCAGCGGAAGAGAGGGTACGCTTGGCACGCTCGCAAGCAGTGCGGAGACGACGGAGAGCACGAGCGTTGGTGGTCAGGTCCTTCTTGTGCTTGCGCTTGAACTCGTTGACGAAGTGGTTGACGAGACGGTTGTCGAAGTCCTCACCACCAAGGTGAGTGTCACCAGCAGTGGACTTGACCTCGAAGATACCCTCCTCAATGGTCAGGAGGGACACATCGAAGGTACCACCACCAAGATCGAAGATGAGGACGTTGCGCTCACCCTCCTGCTTCTTGTCAAGACCGTAGGCAATAGCAGCGGCGGTGGGCTCGTTAATGATACGGAGGACGTTGAGACCGGCAATGAGACCGGCGTCCTTGGTGGCCTGACGCTGAGAGTCGTTGAAGTAGGCGGGGACAGTGATGACAGCGTTGTTGACAGTGCCACCGAGGTAAGCCTCAGCGGTCTCACGCATCTTGGTGAGGATCATGGAGGAAACCTCCTCAGGAGTGAACTGCTTGTTCTCACCCTTGAACTCAACCTCAATGACGGGCTTGGTGTCCTTCTCAATGATCTTGAAAGGCCAGTGCTTCATATCAGCCTGAACCTCAGCGTCGGTAAAACGACGACCGATGAGACGCTTGGCATCGAAGACGGTGTTGTGGGGGTTCATGGCAACCTGGTTCTTGGCGGCATCACCGATGAGACGCTCGGTGTCGGTGAAGGCAACGAACGAAGGGGTAGTGCGGTTACCCTGGTCGTTGGCAATGATCTCAATACGGTCATCACGGAACACACCCACACAGGAGTAGGTGGTACCCAAATCGATACCGACAGCGGGGGCCATTGTGAATATGTGTGTATGAGTCGTTAAAAAGGAAATTCGTGATTTGACTCGGGTAGTGTACAGGGGAAGGAGGAAGTGGGAGGATTAATGGGGTATTTGTGAATTGTGAAGTAGAAAAAAAAAAGAAGAGAGGTGAGGGCAGCGAAATCCTGCTATATAGTGAGCGGTGAATTGCTCAGAAGCTTCTAGCATGGGAGCTTCCATGCGTATCCATGGGTTTCCATGACCTTCGATGCCCCAGCAACAGCACCAGCTCTTACTTCATGGAAGGGCCCGCTGGTTCCAGATGGGCCCAGTGGGTTCATTCTTGGTTCTACTGGTTACAAGTAACTTCCTAATTATTCTTTGGGCGTCAATCCCATTGAATTGGACATCTATCATGTTGTCATCTGTATTTAGAATTTTTTTTTTCCAATGGATGGCGGGGCAAAGTATGATGTAATCGAGGGTTCGTGCCCACGACTGGGCTCTAATGGCGATATGGCCTCCGGTATGGACCGGTTTCGTCACAGCCCCTCTCGCCATTTTTCAGTGGAGTAATGTGGTATGGGTATGGTCACCGTGAAGGCGTCATGATGAATTCATTGAGTCACTCTTGCCATCGATACCTCAGGCAAACAGAAAACCCCATCAAACATAGACACCTTGGTATGGAGGTGTCAACATCAGGCACCAAAGGTTCCTTCTAGAGCGTTGCCTAATTCGGCCATTTGTTGATCGCCAGTCTCGGTCCATTTGACGTGATACATTCAGGCCGTTGGCCCAGTACGTACCAAGTAATATGGGCTCGTAGAGTTCTCCCAGGATATCTCCATGCTTGACGTCTTTATGTCAAAACTTCTCGTATGCAGACCCATGTTCATCTGATGCTACAGAGTCTCGAGTACATACCACTCTGGTGATACTAGGGTACGCAATATGACACTCTCCGTGTTCTCATCGGGAATTCTTCTTTGTCACTCTTCTTTATCTCTGAATAAATCCCACAACCGTGATCACAATCACCAAGATCGAGTGAAAGACCCGGCCATTACTCGGTGAAATTAAGTTTAGGTAAAAGCGCCGAGCAAACCAAACCCGATTGAGGGAAAACCCTGATAACGCCATCCGCGCTATATCTGAGTTGGCCTTGTAACCCAACTTTATTCGAGATTTGCCATAATGTAACTCTATGAGAACCACTTAAAATGGGGTTCTGCCGCGAATCACTCCCCTCCTGCACACTCCGATTGGTCCGTTCATAGGTATCATGTAGCTTGATCGGAAAAGCGTTGCTAGTTCCGTGGGAAAATACTTGGCAAAGTACATGCCCGCACTTTCACAAGGAATTTTCACCCTGGTTAAATAAGATAGATTCCCCAAAAGCAATGTGATGTGGTGTTGATCCGCAGTCTTATCCCAGCCACTCGCTGGTATTTGTTCGATTCCCTTGAGAGCTATCCTTCCCCAATCTCCAGGGCTCCCCCCAACATGGCTCTCCTGGGTTTATTCAAGCGCCGGGGCCCTCAAGAAAGCCCTGCTATTGTGCATGTCACAAGGAACCAGGCAAAAGATCTGCCGGAAGCAGAGGTCACTGGCATCCCATCCGATGAGGAGAAACACAAAGTACAGACTGATACCGCTGCGATTGAGCAACAGAGTCACAATGATCCAGAGATCGCGGCACTACCTCTACAAGTTCGCCAGATCATCAACTTGACCGATGATCCCACTCTCCCCACGATCACCTTTCGGTACTTTGTCCTCTCGGCGCTGTTTGTCATCCCAGGTGCATTCTTGTCCCAAATGAGCCACTTCCGTACCACCAGTGCTCCTTATTCTGTGTTCTTCGTCCAGATCGCCTGTCACTACGTGGGACACTTCCTGGCCAAAATACTCCCAGCCTGGACAGTCCACTTGCCCGGTACCAGTTGGTCGTTCAACCTTAACCCTGGGCCGTGGAGCATCAAAGAGCATGTGCTCGTCACGGTCACAGCGGCATCGGGGGCGACATATAACTTGGCATATGCCCCGATTGTACTAGCGGAACTCTGGTATGGAACCAGAATCAATCCGGCCGTTGCTATTTTCTTCATGTGGGCCATCGTGTGGACAGGATACTCCTTTGCTGCTCTTGCACGACAAATTCTGCTGCCAGATCCCGAGTACGTATGGCCACAGGCCTTGATGCAAACAACCTTGTTTGAGACCTTCCGCAAGACAGACACTGCGTCACCCGTCGCCCGACGCCAAATGAAAGTGTTTTTTCTTGCTTTCTTGGGGATGACCCTATGGCAGTTCCTCCCCGAATACGTGTTTCCGTTTCTCTCTTCCCTAGCCTTTCTCTGCTGGGTGGCACCACACAATGCAGTGGCTAATTTCATCGGATCTGGACTTGGGGGCATGGGATTTTTGAATTTGTCATTGGACTGGTCCAACATCAACTGGAATGGGTCCTCGATCATGCTCACACCGTTTTGGACACAAGTTATTCTGTTCCTGGCCTATGCCTTTAATTGTTGGGTTCTGCTCCCTGCGGCTAAATGGGGCAATCTCGGTTCCTATAAACATGGTCTTATGTCGAACAGTCTCCTGATGGCTAACGGGACGACCTACCCAACACTCGAAGTGCTGACTCCCGAGTATCACCTGAATGAGACAGCATATCAGCAATATGGCCCTATGTACATGGGACTGCAGAATGTGTGGGCGACTTGGTTTGACTACGCCAAGTTGCCAGCGGCAATCACCTGGATTGCGACTTTTGGCTATGTTCAAATAAGGAACAATCTTAAAAAGATCCTCGGAGCTCGCAAAGCTGCTAAATCGTCACCGGGAAACGGGATTCATCATCAATACCATGACCGTCTCAATGTGATCCAGAGACAATACAAGGAGATACCATTGTGGTGGTACTGCTCGCTGTTTTTAACAGCCTTGATTATCTTAGTGACCATTATTGCGTGTGGAAACCTGTTCATCCCGATCTGGACCCTATTTGTTGGACTTGCGAGCGCTGCTGTTTTCGTGGTTCCTTTTGCTTGGCTGTACGCCATCTCCAACTACCAACTCGAGACCGGGTCATTTAATGAACTGATGTACGGATACATGGTTCATACCAAAGCTGGCTCCGGCCACCAGCACCCATGTGGCCCGTCAGTCTACGGCTCCATTGCCGGTGATGCATGGTACCGTGCACAGTACATGCTACAAGACCAGAAGATCGGGCATTATATGCATATCCCCCCTCGTGAGATTTTCTTTTCCCAGATTTTTGGCACCCTTATGGGCGTCCCAATCAATTATGCTGTCATTCGCTGGGTGATGGATACCAAAGGAGACTACTTGACTGGAGTGAAAACAGATCCGCTCAATCAGTGGACTGGCCAATCATTGCGCACATCCAACACCATGGGTGTGCAATATGCGGTCCTCGGCCCCAAAAGACTCTTTGCTGAAGCAGAGATGACGCCCTTGCCATGGTCCTTCCTAGTCGGTGCTGTGATCCCTCCGATCTTATTCATCTTCCACCGTTTCTTCCCCAAGTTGCGGATTGACCTTTGGAACGTCAGTATCTTCTTTGGCGGCCTTGCCATGTTCTATGGAAATCTCAGTACCGGCTATACATCCGCCTTCATCGGTGGTTATGTTGTAATGTACTGGGCATATCGGCACCATTTCGAAGTATGGAAGCGGTACAACTATTTAATTGCTGCTGCATTCGATGCGGGATTCAACCTCAACATGTTGCTTATCTTCTTCTTCTTTGGAGCAGGCAAGCAGATCTCGATGCCAAATTGGTGGGGCAATAATAGTGAATCGGTAGAACGATGCTTTGCTTCGACATAGACTGAGGACATCACGTATTGATATGTCATTTGCGTATTAAAAAACAAATTGACATCTGCTGCATACCTGAAATGGCCATCTTAATATTCGAGATAGAAAGTCGACTTCCATGAGTAAACTTCCAGTCAAGGATGCCTCAGGGCACGGTCTGTCACGAGGTCCCCACTCTGTTGAACGAATCACATCACGGGATCTCGCCGTCCCTTACTGTTGCTGGTTGTTTTGACTGGAGAGCTACCTTACTTCGCAGACCGTCTCTTTTAAATCTCCCCTTCCCCTCTTCAGCAATCCCAACCCCTTTCACACCATCTACGCTCTCCACCTTATCACCACATCACACATTCACAATGGCTGACCGCGCGACCTTCAACGACCCCGCTGTCGAAGACAAGGGCAAGGGCAAGTCCACCGACCCTACCAACGAGATGAACATGGACGATGACAGTTCGTCGGAGAGCGAGCCTGAAATTGTAAGCTTGCGAAATTGTCGCATCCCTGACTCCAACGATTCAGTGGTGTACTAACTTTGCGCGTTTCTAGGAACAGCATGGTACGCGCCCCCCTCATCTGCAAGCGTAATTGCCCTGGGACTAGATTATTACGAGGCCCAGTGACGCTACATGACTTGCCACGCCCCGAAATCAGATCAATCGTTGCTAACCCCAGACAACTACAGAGGAAGACGAGGACATGGACAGCAACCTCGAGCCTATCGACCAGAGCAACATCATCTCGGGCGGCCGCCGTACACGCGGCAAAGTAATCAACTACGCCGATGTTGCGGAGCAGAACAAGATGAATGAGGATGATGACGACGAGGACGATGAGGAGTATGAGGCTGCTGATGACGACAATGACCATGCCATGCGCGGTTAAACACCCAGTCTCCACGATACAGGCGATACGAATGTTGCTATTAAGGAACAGGCTAGACCGGCGCCATGTGCTAAGGGGAGGTTCATGTCTTTATTTCTATTGAGACACGCTCTCATGCTGTTCTCTGAGGTTGCGCCGGACGGCGCTGTCAATGATTCAATGAAACTCAGTTGTGGTCGATTATTCTTACTTCAGAGATAATCTACGACTATTTAACGTCCAATCATGATTTCATATTGCACGGTGCTGCATTCCTATTTCCTTTATTCACAGTGTAGTCTATATATGTGGTGAATGTAGCGAGTTGCTTTACGCTGTGATACCTGATCTCTGTAAAGTGCATTTTACCCCTTCGAGACCCAGATTTCCAGATGCCCGCAGGATCTCGAAGTTTTCCAGCCTCATGATCGAATGGTCAACTCCTTCACTCCGATTATGCCTTTTGTTTTGTTTCCTTTCGTTGCTATAAACACTGCGTCATCACGTGCGCCCGCGGATTTACGCTTTGGCCACCTTGTGTTTTTGTCCGCAAGCAGGGTCTCTCCACGTTCGCCAGAGAATCATGAATCTCACCGGTTGCTAAGATCATGCAATGTCCCCAAGTAACTACTGACCAATAATAGTCCCTAACCTGACTGGTGAATCCCGATAATCCCTCGGTTCATTCCGAACCTTGGACACGAACGTCATGGCTTCACGGTATAGTCCCGACCCTCTCCTTTCCATACCAACACATTTCCAAACAGTCATCCACGGTCGTTGTCCATGATGCCTAACGATCATGAACAGATTCCCTCGCCAGCGTGATCCACGCGCTTCTTCCTCCCTCTTTGATTCTTACGGTGGCGGCTCCCGTCCGGCGAGCAGATCGCCCGCTCCGGCCGCTGGATATGGGTACGGAGGCTATTCCAGCCCAGCTGGAAACAACTATGGGAATGGCAGTGCTGGCGGACCTTCATATCGAAGCGCAACTCCCGACAAGAAGTAAGCAGAATGGCCGCTGCCAGACTGGTGTATTGTGCTTGGATTCTAACATTTGTAGGGGCCACTATTCCGATGCAGTTCTCTCGTCACTCGAATCACAAAATGATGCGGAAGTCGAAGGTATCACCGCCAAGGTGAGGATGTTAAAAGATGTAAGTGGTTTTAATTCTCAGCCACGGCGCAAGGGCGATACGGCGTTGGGTCTTGTTGCAAGTGACTGACCAGTCCCTTAGCTCACCTTTGCGATTGGAGACGAAATCCGGGATACCACACACATAGACGGCCTTGAAAGCTCATTTGAAAGTACTCGAGTCCGGCTTCGCGGGAATATGAACCGTATGCTTCGCATGGCTGAACGCACTGGCGTTGGCTGGCGGGTGTGGGTCGGGTTCTTCTTCTTCGTGTTCTTCTTGTTCTTCTATGTGTGGATATTCTAGTTGCCAGAGCTACGGCAATAAGTTTATACACGGCTTCACTTCGCCCTATTCAATTTTTTAGAAGCAAGAGCGTGTATTTGGCCCCCATTGCGTTCTCTCTGGGGGTACGCACACATACTTTTGCTTTCAGTACAGCATGACTGATTTCCTGGCTACGGTGTTTCGGTGTTTTGGGATTCCGGCTGCGCTTGCATGCCTTGTGATTATCATAGGTACTACATACAAGATCGATAATGCTTTGGTTTTTTTGCAATGATTAGTTCAGGACTATTCTGGGCACCTGGTGTTTCGCTAGGTTTTCACCAGTGGTCAATGGAGCCAGGCTGATACTGGTTTCTTTGATATTCGAGAATTTATAAGTACATATGCACGTTTCAAGTCAACTTTCAAGTAGATATTCATGCTTGAATCCTGGAATGTCTGAAGGACACGATCATATGATATTAGGTCTGATGAACTTTCTATGCAAAACCTGAATCCTAAGTTTGATATCCTTGTCCCAAATCCAGTCCAATGTAAACTCCAATAACACCATGCAAAGCACACAGTAAGAACTTCGTCGGTAAATTTGCAGGAACTACAGTTCCAACTTCAATTGAAACTGTCTCGTGGTCGACCAACATGGCGAGGGAACCGTCGAGCAAACCCACTGCGACGGCTACTTTGACTTGTTACCGAAGCGCGCAAATCCTCATCCTCGAGGAACATGCTGCTAGAGTCCAGAGCATCGCCCCCGCCACTCCAGCGATTAATGAATCGGCTCTGAGCTTCAGTCTCGCGTGCCCGGCGCATTGGTGGTGTTGGTAACATGCCAGCACGACTGTTAGGAGTGCTCGTCCGGAAATTCTCAGTGAGTCGGTTGCGGACGACATTGTCACTTTCTTCCTCATCCCCCTCAGACTCTTCCTCAGTATCTGTATGCTGCCATTCGCCTTGTTCGGATCCACTTTCTGCAGCGTCGGGAATATCAACATCCAGATCTCGACTCATTTCACTCATCTCCTCTCCGGCTTCGGGAACCTCCGCATCCAAATCAGGCTGGTTATCAAAGTCCTCGTCGTCCTGCTCGTACAGCCCACTTTCCTCATAGTCGTCATCAGGGTACCCTTCAGGAATATCGTCATCCAGATCCCGCTCCATATAGCCTTCCTCATCCACAACATCCTCCTCTTCGAGCCCCTCCTCGCCTTCCTCGATCAATCCCTCAGCATCTGCATCGGGGATCTCGTCGTCCAGGTCCCGCTCCATGCCTTGGTCGACCTCCTCTCCCTCCTCTCCTTGTGTCATGCCCATATCATCTTCCATCATGCCTTCCGCATTCATTTCCGCAGCGGCAGCCGCAAGCGCCTCTTCGCGCTCAGCTTCTTCTTCCTTCATGCCCAGCATTGTCTTTGAACATCCCGCCGGCTTGATCCACGAGTATCCAAAGGACGCAATGTTCTGTTTCCGAGCGCGCAGGGCCCTTTCCTCCATAGCGAGAGCCGCGAGGCCATTTGCTGGTGAGCGCGAGGGCATAAAGGCTCGGTGACTAGTTGTGTTGTTGCCATTGCGGCGGGCAAGGTTAGCACCGGTGTCGGTGTGCGATTGTTGTGGGGAGGTAGAGCGGTATGGCTGTGATGCGCCGAACCAGAGCTCATGTGACTATTTTTTGAGCAAGGTTAGATCTTGGTCTTTGGTGTGGTGTACAGGTTGGAGGTTGGCTCGATACTTACGTCGCGAGGTGTGAGGAAGGGTAGAGACAGCATTGTTGCACTTGATGGGGTTGTTTAGTTTTGGTGGCTTTCCGCGTCGAGTCCGAGTAGCTGTAATAGGGACGTTAGGTGGTTGCACTCCCGAAGCTTTTCGCGACGTTGCGATGATCTTGCTATGGATATCACGCAGTTGTCGCGGTATTATGAGGCAAGATTGGTGGTCAGGTGAGAGGAAAGTGTTATAATCGTGAAATCATTCCGCAGACAAATATGGTCAGTTCAAGAGTACAATGCATGGAAGGGCGTTGGAAAAGTCGGCGGGTCGGAGCTCCGCAACCCAAAACATTGGCATTGCGGGGACCTGCAACCACTTCCACTCATCTCAGATGTACTCCGTTGACGAATAATGTCGAATTTGAATGCTAATTTATTTTTGGGCTGCATATTTCGTAAACAAATGAATCTTGAGCTACGTTGAAATTGCTGCTGAACGGCTATGACGTATGAGATCCCGAATCACCTATTTGACTATACATCCACAGGTACTTTACTGTATAGGATATGAGAGATAGGGAGACATGTATCGACTTTATATGGATCATGGCTGCTGTATGCAAATCAAGACCTTTTCGGTTTCCACATCATGATCCCTCCCGCTGGTAGACCAATGTTCATGGAGAATGGACCCCGTAGCTCAAATCCCAGCTTCTGGTAGAGCTTCTCTCCATCTGGGCTTGCTTCTAATCCCACTATCACTCCTTCACTCTGCGCTCTTTGCAGTACCTCTTCCATCAGTCGCCGCCCAATTCCTTGTCGCTGACAAGACGAAGACACCACCACGCTTTGTGCATGCCAACGATTCAAATATTTAATCTTCATCTCCGGAGACTCCCAGTAACACTGCTCATCATGCTTACAGGATTCGAAATACTCATTCAACGCGTCAGGATTGACAGACCGGTCAGGCCAAACGAGATTCACAACGGACGTTCGAATCTTGAACCACCATGTTTTTAGTAAGCGCCAAAGAGAGCGCTGATTGGAGAGCAATTGCAATGCAGCCTGGTCATTGCCGAGTCGGATGAACTGCGCATAGGCTACGGGGGTAGATGGAGTGGCATGATGCACGGCTACAAAGCCAATGCTTCGAGGGTTCAGGTAGCGACCTTGGATCATCTGGACGAAGCGACGGATGACGTGCTCAGGGTATTCGTGGCGATGCGGACAGAGGAAGGCATTCAGAGGCGAATCAGAGTATGCTGTAGCAGCTAAAACACCCAAAATGGGGATATCTGAGCTCTGCATACGACGGATCAGGAACTCTTCATTCTCCTGTGATGCCATGGTGCTGTGTTGCTGTGTTGAGTTGTCACTGGGGAATTATATCACTTCGCTATCAATCACTCGTGGACTGTAATGGTGGTGGGACTAGGGATGTACTGTCCTTGATATCTACAAAGTATCTTAGCTTGCGATTAGGGTTGCTAGTGAGTCATCGTCTCGTATTCTATTTATCCATAGTTATTTGGCTACCTACTAGGCTGCTACATATCTATTAGAATTGCGAATATTGTCCGACTGTCCAAGTGAAAAATATATAATTAACGTAGAGCAGGGGAGCTCAAACTGTCTCACACTAAACAAGTTGAGGCGACACTAATGTCCCGGTCAAATCAGGTCATCAAGAACCTTGGAACCTTGGAAGATCCCCCGGCAGCTGTGTTCCTGGTATTTATCAAAAGTACGGGTACTTCTTGTACGGACTTGTACGTAGAGACTCGGCCGCGGTCGACCCATGGGATTTCCGCAATTACCCGATCGCAGCAATGAGACCAGCAGTCCGGTGAACCCAAAGTAGACAGGAGTCGAGGGTAAAGAGAGGTCGGGAAAAGTCGGGAGCAGCGATGCAGCAGCCAAGTTACCCCAAGTTCACTGGACACGCACCTGGTGGCTTATATTCACTCTCCGATCATTGGCGGTGAGAGGATATCCACTGTGGATCCCGTGGAGATTGGCATGTATACAAAGTACCAAATGCACCTCGGGCAATTCTAGGGTCGAAGACTCACGTCTGTATTCTGAGTGGTGTTTGGATGATTCTTGAATTATGGACACGGTTGCTTTGGTCCAGTATATCCAGATAAAGGCCGGATGTGGACTTGAAACCTCATTGCCGCATCTGGAGATCGTCTGTCCCAGCAAGGGACGGTTCATAGAATGTGCCATTTCCGGAAGATACACTCTGGTATAAGAAACGAGAAGCTATCCTTCGAAGCCAACAAATGGATTTGGTTTGATACACCAACATGCGACTTTATTTGCTTGTAGCACTTGCCTGTGGAATAACTGCGGCTCCAACCAAGCCAAATACATCCGAGTTGATGAGCCAGGTCAGACAGCATCTGTCAACTCAAAGGATGGCGGGGTACCTAGCTAACGTAGTAGAACTTGAAGACACCTTTTGCCCGGGAGACGATTATGCACAGAGAGAGGCAACCAAGACACGCGACAGTAAGGCAAACACTCTAGTAACACGAGCTAGAGGCTAACTTATTCTGGACGCTCAAGGATCCGCCTCACTGCATTTACGACGATGCCTATCCGGAATTCCAAAGGCAACGTGAAAAGTACAAAGCAAAATTCTCATTGGAACATAGAACATGATTGAACCTCACCTAATACAACTGATTCTAAGATTGCAATGGCATGGTTAGAGGGGAACTAAGCGAGGTGCCTGGGCAATTTCCCGAACCACAGTATACACGGCACACGTGGAGGGTTCCCATCCAACAGGGTCGCAATTCCTGTTCCCGACACAACGTGTGGTCTGATGGTCATTTCCCCCTAGGCGGAAAAGGGAGAAGAGGTCCTTGATAGGAATACATGTATTCCATTCCGCTCGGAAAACGAGGGCGGAGCACCTCAATTTAGGGCGGGGTTATGTTTTTTTATTATCAAGCCAAATCTTATCTGCATGGTACTCACCCGCTTCACGTGTCGGGGGTTGAGCTCCGGATGAATGCTTAAGTCCGAGGTTGAGTTTACGGGGTAAATGACAGACCCAATCTCTCCAGAACACATCCCACTGAGAATGTGGAACGTGGATGGGGGAGTCTGGGGATGCGGTGATTTCTGGGGTGTCTCCTCGACGAGTGAGAGGGCAGGTAATTTCTTCCAAGCCGCGATAAGCAGTATGGATGACTTAAAGTGATGAGCTCGAGGAAACGGCTCGGGATCCGAATGCAGAGAGAGATGACCCCGAGATCGGGGGACGCACAAGCATTGATGCCATGTAGGATCATTGGTCAGATTACAATCGTTAGGGGAGGAGAGGAAGATTCCGGACAGCTTGGCCGTTGTCGGAATGGCGGGTATGGTATTGGTAAATACCCGTATTTATCAGTGCGTGGCCCCTGATCTGACCTGCACGCACGCGGTGTGGGGCGAGGCTCGGGAACGGGGGGCATTGGAGATGAGGCATCTGTGTCTGATGGCCTTGGAAACTTGCAATTTCCACCTTGGCAGTCGCTTTACTGCCAAATCAACTTTGTCTTTCGCTTCGCCCTTCTTCTCCCTGAAGAAAAAGAAAGAGAAAAATGCCAGCCCTGCTATGTTGAATACCCCGGAGCTTTAAAACAATAGTAAAGGAACTATTGACTGGAATAAGCATTGCATGCAATTGCCCCACCAAACACCGTCCACTTGGGACAACAGGCATCTTGGAGAAAGCTGATTTTCTAGTTTTCGTGGTCTGGTTGCGTCTACGAAACCAATCATATCGTCGGTTCCTTCATTGGGGCCGCTTGGTGGCCCCACCACCCGGGTATGCGTCGACCGTACGCATGTGGATGTAGATGAGATCATGGGCAAGGGGGGCCAAAGCGAACGAAGAGGCAAAGAAAGAAAGTCATACTAGGGCTATATAGTCCGGGGTACTAGCACTGACATTGGGCCACGTACTCGGCTTTGAAGTATATACATCCTCATGCATGAAACACTTGAGAGCAGTTGCACTGGTATAGAAACGAGAATTAAGGTACTGATACAATACCATACATCCACTCCACCGAGGATCTTAAAGACTCTTGACGTAGCAGAAACCTAATCGTTTGGACTCAGAGGTTGCAATGCCCTGGCTCTGATTGGCCGATCAACGCTTATCTTGACGATTTGCTCGCCGTAATCATAATGATTATCATTACTCGACCCATCATTGCTGGAAGCTCTAACGTCCATCTGGAATGCCCCCCCCTCCTTCCCACCCCTACTGTTTTCATCTATGAGGGGTTCTCCAACTCTCCACGGTGTCTTACATGGTAGTCGCGGTAAAATTGAAAAATTCGATAAATCAAAAAATCAAAAAGCAAAGTGATGTTCTACTAGAATTTCGTTTCAGGAATGAATTGATTGGTCCTCAAGAGACTAGCCAAGAGGTACCATGAAACTGGTATTTCTGTAGACGTGAAATCATGTAAGGATAGGAAATCCATTTGCCACAAAAACAATAGGAAAAAATACCCCACAGGCTGTATTTTATTTCTCTCCTTTGGGAATTCCATCGGAGCAACAGCCTACAATCCCCGGACCTGTTGTCCTGCCGTAACCGCTCTGCCTTTTTTTTTTTTCTCATTCCCCTCCTTCCTCTCCCTCACTCTCCTTCCCATCTCCATCTCTAAAGCTTCCTTGTAGACGGTCAATTTGAACTGACCTCTACCTTGTGCTGCGCCCGGTGACGACATTGCCTTATCGCCCTATCGATCTGTCCCGCCCCAAGAATCCCGGCGGAGATCCCCAGACACATCCAAAATCCCCCCTCCGTTTGTCCATTCTCTGTCGGCTACCGGCGGGAAGAATGGGTCTTAACTTGGAGGAAATCTATGGCAAAGATCTAAGTGAAGCCCAAGCTCCTCAGGAGTATTCGGAGTATCAGCCTAAGAAAGGCTATGGCTGGGCCAATACACTGCCCGAGCGGCAGGGTCTCTATGACCCCGAATATGAAAAGGATGCTTGTGGCGTTGGTTTCGCAGCGTGAGTGAGGTCTGCATCAAGATTGATGTACAGGAATGGTATGGCTAACCTCAATTCCAAATCTAGCCATATCAAGGGCAAACCGAGCCACAAGATTGTGAGCGATGGTAAGTCTTTCAAAGCCTTCCGAACGTACAAAAACCACCGAACTCTGCGCTGATGTCGTCTCGAATAGCTCGCAATCTGTTGTGCAACATGACTCACCGTGGAGCCGTTGGCTCGGACGCACGAGACGGTGACGGTGCTGGTGTGATGACCAGTATCCCTCACAAGTTCTTCATCAAGAATTTTGCCCGCGAGGTAGGCGTGGACCTCCCTCCACTGGGCCAATATGCTGTCGGAAACTTGTTTTTCAAGCCAGATGAGGATGCTTTGAAGCAATCGATCGCCAGCTTCGAGGAATTGGCAACCTCGCTCGGCCTCCGCGTCCTGGGATGGCGTGAGGTGCCTCGCGACTCCACCATTTTAGGTCCAGCTGCACTTTCGCGTGAGCCCATTATCATGCAGCCATTCGTAGTATTCAAATCTGCCTACGGCGAGGGCAACAAGCCCGAGATCACTGATACGGACAAGTTCGATGCCCGAACCTTTGAGCTTCAATTGTACATTCTGCGGAAGCGAGCCACCCACGTTATTGGGATGGGCAACTGGTTCTACCTTTGCTCTCTCAGCAACCGGAATATTGTTTACAAGGGTCAGCTGTCCCCGGTGCAAGTTTATCAATACTACCATGATCTGGTCAACGTCGACTATGAGGGTCACTTTGCCCTAGTCCACTCCCGTTTCTCGACTAACACATTCCCCTCCTGGGATCGTGCCCAGCCCTTGCGATGGGCCGCGCACAATGGTGAAATTAACACATTGCGCGGAAACAAAAACTGGATGCGTGCTCGCGAGGGAGTTCTTCGATCAGATGTCTTTGGTGCTGAATTGGACCAATTGTACCCCATTGTCGAGGAAGGCGGCTCGGACTCGGCAGCTTTTGATAATGTTTTGGAACTTCTCATGATTAATGGTGTACTGTCACTACCCGAGGCAGTGATGATTATGATCCCCGAAGCTTGGCAGGATAACCCAGCGATGGACCCGGCCAAGTCCGCTTTTTACGAATGGGCAGCATGCCAAATGGAGCCGTGGGATGGCCCGGCTCTTTTCACTTTCTCAGACGGCCGTTATTGCGGTGCTAACCTTGACCGTAATGGCCTACGTCCGTGTCGCTTCTACGTTATGGACGATGATCGTATCGTTTGCGCCTCTGAGGTCGGTGCCATTGATATTGATCCTGAACGTGTGGTCCAGAAGGGTCGTCTACAGCC